CCAACAAGTTTACACTCTTAAAAATAAAGGTTCCAAAAAGAGGGCCACAGAAGAATCTTCTTAGTTCTCCAAAGAACCTTTCAGTGAGCAGTTCTTGAAGGAACCGTTTTTTTCTTCGTGTGAAGAACATTTAAAAAAATCTCAAGAACCTTTTCCAGTATAAAGAACCTTTTGTGGAATGGAAAGGTTCCATGGATGTTAAAGGAACAGTTCCCTCAAAAATTTACATTTGCTGAAAATGTATTCATGCTCAGGCCATCCGAGATGTAGACGAGTTTGTTTCTTCATCAGAGCAGATTTGGAGAAATGTAGAATTGCATCACTTGCTCACCAGTGGATCCTCTGCAGTGAATGGGTGCCGTCAGAATGAGAGTCCAAACAGCTGATAAAAACATCACAATAATCCACACCACTCCAGTCCATCAGCTAATGTCTTATGAAGCGAAAAGCTGCACGTTTGTAAGAAACAAATCCATCACTTAAGATGTTTTTAAGTTTAAACTGCTTATATAATGCAACATTTCTCCAAATCTGTTCTGATGAAGAAACAAACTCATCTACATCTTGGATGGCCTGAGGGTGAGTACATTTTCATTAAGTTTCCATTTTGGGTGAACTATTCCTTGAAATGTTCTTCATGGAACTGTAGATGCCAATAAAGAGCCTTCGATTTTAAGAGTGTATTTTCAAAGCCTTTCCATATACAGACAACGAGAAACCGAGCTTAACGTCAGGCTCCAGCTATTTCGGGTACAAAATAAATAACATGAAACATGAAACAAAGAGAGATGGAGGGTATTTAAAAGAAAAATATTCTTTGAAGTCCAAATGAGATTAGGCCTCAGCGAGAGGACATATTCTGGAGAGAAGACCACCTGTGCCCGCATGGAAGACTAAACGAGAACAAAAGAAGGTTAAGCCACCTCATCCCCTTAAATACCCTCAAGTGCGTCACAGATAACGGTGCAGTAAACACGTTTCTAACACTCACAGTCATGCAGAACACTTGCTGATTGAAAGTCACATAAATGCATACGGCTCTTGCATTCGAGATATACATATCAGCTCCCGCATATGTTTATTGGTGTTGTAAAGAAATGCTACATGATAAATAATACTTCCATGCGAAACGCCTTCTACCACCAACATTTTCTGTGATTTGTTTACATCTGGAAACATGTTTCTTAAAACAACATTCCCAGCTGGAAACTATTGCAAAATTCCCTAAGGGCCTAAAAGCTTGTGCATGAATGTCCTCAACCTCTGAACCAATCAAGAAACAAGATCCTCAAAGCTAAAGGGAAATACAAGCAATTATGGGCCAAAAGAGCATGAGTGAAAATGTGAACAGACGCAGGGTTTAATCAAGAGCATAAGAGTGCACATTATTCAGGTGATCAAGCACCCTGTCAGCCCTTTGTGCCCTTCTAAAATTACTTAAAATGAAACAGTTCAGTAAATGGCCTATCTACAATTTTTAAAAGACACATACAGTACAACTGTATGTAATCTTTTTTACAGGTTTTTTATAACTATGTGTTTGTGTGTGTGTAAATGACCTTTTATTTAATTTAATTATATGTGTACATAGTTATATAAATAGGCTAACAAATATAATGATATAAATTACACTTGTTCTTATATAAATATAATTAAACATACATATTAAATAAAATAAAATAAAAGGTAGACAGGAACAGAATTGTGTAGAAAGCAATGCATTTTAAAGCACTAAACTCATTTAACTCTGTGCCTTACTGTTAAAATGAAATCAGATGGCAATACATGACCTGAACAAGCACACTTCAAGCAAGGGAACACTTTTTCAAAGAGGACTCATAAACTACGCATAAAGACGGACACGGCGATGCATACATGCATCTGAACTGTGCAGAGCCCTGCTAATCTCTCTGGAGGACTCCTCGAGCCTCTGGCCACCTTCACTTGCATTGTTAGTTTGAACAGTTCTGGCACTAAATGTTTGTCAGTCTAATCTTTGCATTACTCACAGCGCAGCGGACATGAAGAACGGCTAGCATTTATGTCTGTAGCATTAGCACATGGCTGAGGTAATGGGTTTTGCTGTTGGAAGTGCATCACACTAATGTTAATCCCATCAAACCCAACCTTTGTGATGTCACTGACCTCCTCTTAGCCATGGGTGTGCAAACACACGGGACGTCCCAGGGATGCCCTGTCTCAGGGGTAAGCCTGGGAAGATCTACAGACGTCACAAGCAATGCTGCCATGTCTTTTTATAGCACTGAAGAGTGCATCGTGTCTGCTCGACCTGTCTTATCCTCAGGGTCTAATGTCACCTGATTATGTAATATGAAATGTTTTGGATGAATACTACAAATAAAAATATTTGATGCATAGTTAAATGCCAAATGTTATTTGCTTTAAAAATACATTTAATTCCCAAAGCCTTGCTAAAATAAGCATTTAGTTGCCAGTGTTGACTGCTGCTGTCCGCAGAAATGTGCTCTAGTGCATGCAGGCGAGAGGAGCGGCCTGGATGGATGCTGGCTGCTAAGATCTGCTGACTCACCTCACGTCTGCAGTGTGAGCAATATTAAATAATGACCTCTGCCTCTTCAATCTGACCCGGGGATGCTGCTGCTGTTTGGTGCGGATCGCTGGGAAAGAGGAGGCAATGGCAGTGATGTGTCACCTTGCTTCAAATTCCACAGTTAACCTACAACAATGCAACTTTCCCAGTGAATGTAATGTTCTTGAATATTTGTGTCATTCAGGCTCTGTCAACTAATTTTCTGCGGCCCATGCTGTTAAAGTAGCCATTTTTTTATATAATGAACCTTGTTTTGCTGATAAAACAAACTTACTATTACAAAAAAAAAAATCCTTTATAAAGAACATCTGCAATGATCGGTCAAGTAAACGTGCATGAGGTCATTTGTTTCAGAGAATAAAACATTCAAGACTTAAGCATGGTCTAGTGGTCAGCACACATGCAGAGAAAGATTTTTTTAAAATTGACAAAAAGATACAAATATCAAATTAAATCTTGATTCCTCAGCTTTCAATTATTTATGAACAAAGCCCTCTATAAAATATAAATAGGAGTAAAAACAAAGTTTGGTGTATGTAAGTTCTGCTGAATTGCAGGAGAAAACTCACTGTCATTAAAAACATGCATTGTACTTGAAATCTACAGACACAAATAGATAAAGTGTAATAAAAATGTGTATTTTGGATGTTTTCTTTCCACTAGTCTTAAAGTAGACGTGTTATGCATGTTGTGTCTTGCCCTATCCATTTATGGAAACTCTAAATGCATATGAATTTATTATGATATATAAGATGGAAGAACACCATTAGCATGATTTAAATCCCTGTTTTCTAGCATGCACTGATGTTTAAAGGCACAGAGAGAGAGACAGAGGCGGTCTCTGGTGTGCAGCATCTGCGTGTGCGGGTTATTTGTTATCTAGTGTGGCACACGCTCCAGGGATGGCGCTCAGGGAGCTTAGGCAGACAACATGCAGTAAATATCGCAATGTGAAACGAAGCGTTATAAAACTACTACAGTAGTGCAGATGCAACTAATGGGTGGCATGTCGCTCTATGAGCGATTCCTAAACTGATGAACAGAGAAAATTTACAGTTACACAGTAGGTACAAAATGAGTCAGAAGGCATTCAAATGTTATAGCGGCGCTGCATATTAATAAAACACAGCACAGTTCTGAATCAGAAAGCTAATCAGTTTATCGCCCTCTTGAGTACAGTCACTGCAACCGTAACAGAAGAATGCATGCTACACATATGCAACCGGACCACAAGACTCAATGCATTGGCCAATATGGATTTGCGTACTGGCATTAGGTATGTTTCTGAACTTAAGTTACTCTGTAAGTGTCATAAAACAGTGAGTCTATTGCCGAGCATCTCTTAAACACACTCTAAGCTCAGTGCTGGTTAATCCTTAATTATTTTGCTACACTGCTTTTTGCAGTAATTGATTTTCCCAATTAGCAATGGCACAAAGGTGCATGCAAAGGTGCAACAGTCATTCAAACAAGCTTACATGCATGAAGACAGAGAATAAATGAGCACAATCAACCGAAACCAAACTGAATAAGGTGATGCACGCTGACAAGCTCTGTCCTTTTTGGTCCATTGATTTAACAATGTAGCACCGATACTTCATCTGACAGCATGCATCCTCTTCAATATTTTGTGAAAAATAATTGAGGAGGGGGAAAAAATGCTTTTCATCATGCACGAAACCACATTGTAGGGGAATAGAGTTCAATGCAAACATGAAATGTGTGTATTTGGCTGTGTGTGTGTTTACAAGAGACTGGGATTATGTGATTTTGGGACTAATCACACAGTAGTGATAAAATGCTTAAAATTCTTTCATTGTCTGCAGACGTTTGCTGTTCTCTCAAGTATTCAGCCATAGAATTCCATTAAAATGCCTCCATCTACAAAACGCAAAACCAAAATTCATTCCAGACTTGATGCATATGATATTTCATATTATTTTGATATTTTAACTTCTCACAAAGAATAAAATGAAATAAAATAAAATGGTTTCACGAAACAAACACACAAACAGCTGTTTTACACTACAATTCAATGATGATTTAATGAGTTAATACTGAGTAACTTCAACGTTAGTTAGTGGAATAGGAAGACACTATTGTTGAAAAAGTCACGTGTTTAAACACACAACCTCTCCTTTATTGGTGATTCAAAGAAAACTTGTTTAAACTGACTTGTCTGTTTTGCAAATAGAAGCAAATGAACCTTGTCTTTGTTCGGTTTCTGTAATTGGGACGAATGTTTGCATAATCTTGGGATGCTCTGCTTGTGACGTACGTTAATGTTTACTTCTCGTTGCTTAAAACAACATTACTAGCCCATTTCTATAATATAAAAATCAAAGCAAACATGCATGTTTGTGAATATACATGGCTGTTGCTCTTAGCAGCAGGGAAATGAGTTTTGACATGTATTACTAATCTGCAGAAAATACAGCACTGCACAGAAAATGTTTGGTTTTCACATTGAACATCAATGGCAATACACACTGAAGTGTTCTGCGCTGCCTTAGGGAAGACGACTGAGATGAGAGCTATGTCTTAAGGCTATAGCACCCAACCTTAAAGGCAGCAGGTTCCTGATCTGAACTCAACCCTGTAGTTTCTGAATCCAGAAGAGTGCAGAAACACCAGCTGAACGGTTTACGATACATCCCATTGATCTCTTGTGAAATAAAGTTTGACTGTTTAAAGGAGCAAAAGTACACACACACACCCACACATGCACAAAACATCAGTTGTATGCTTTCATTTCTCACAGAACAATACTCTCTTGCTGTAGGGTGGGAAAGAAATCATATGGTGCTTTTGCAATTCTTTTAATTTCATTGTAGTAAAGAAAATTCTAATTGTGTCTGTTTTCCTTCCAAATATTTAGGAAGCACTGTTGGTACATGAACTAAACCAACACCAAAGGTCTGTTTAATGTAATTTGTCATGTGTTAGTCCATGAAGTGCTTCTTTTATTACGCCTCTGTTTAAGCTGTGACTTAAGGAAACTAAAGTATGACACTGCTACATGAACTAGAAACACGGACCTCCACTGGACTGAATCCATGTTCATGTGCCACACTAACATTCCTGTTAGCTCATTTATCACCATAGTAAAGCAGCATGTCAGAGCGATGCCATTATAGATGCCTCAGAGCCATAGTGAGAAGCAAAACATGAAACCCAAAGCACGCCACTGTCCCGTCTGATTCACTGCGGCGCTTTTGTTTTTCGGGCTTTCCACAACAGGGTGATGACACCATAACCTGCTGTTCGTATCTGGGTGTTGACAGCCTCAAAAGCTGTTTGGAGAACCCATGAGGCCTACAGTCATAAAAACTGGTTGTGGTCGCACATTTGGTTGGAAAACACCCAATGAGGAGAGTGAAAATAAACAGTCACATGACGTTTTCGGAGCAAAGGCCTAACAGTAACCTGTGCGGAGACCTTAACCCTCTGAGGTCGATTAACGCGGATACGCGTTTTGAGGCATCTTCTCCTGATCACACCAAAAATAACTTAAATTACACTTTCAGTTTTGATCTTACAGATAAGAGCAATACATTAATCGAATCTGTAAAGGGTCTACTTTTATTTGTATACACACATAATAACAACAGAACTTTGTGCATTTATAAAATAAAGAAAACAAACAGGGTGTGC